ATGGAAGCAAGCCAGGGAACCCTGAGAGTCCGCCTTTTTCTTTGTTTTTTGGCTCATAGGCTCTGGCAGTAAAGTCAGGCCAGAACATGATCGGGGTTATTTCAGTTCATAGGTCAGCAGCCTAGTGGCCAGGTCTGCTCTAGAATGACCAGGAGTGCAGACATGGACCCTTCTCCCATCTGTTTCTCTGACTGGGATGAAGTTGACATTTTCTACCAAGAACAGGACAGAGCTTGTCTTCAGGTGGTTAGGATCCTGATTGCTTGTGTTCAGCATACCTGATGCACCAAGGCACAGTGCTGGTGCTGCTGACTCTGTTGTGGACCCACTACCTCCTGGACCCTTTGAGCCGCTCATCTCTTCCTCTCCTGTGTACCACATGGTGAAAGGCTGATGAGAACTGACCTGGCCACAGTTGTCCCTGCTGCCTGTGTTCTCCAGGTTATTGATGATGGCAGGGCTAAAGCACCCCAAGGTAGCGCCCATTTCCATTAAGGCCATTTTAGCAGAGAACTTTGTCCAAGCTGACATTAGTTGTGGGGGAAAAAAAATGTCCTGGGCCAAGTAGGTGAACTGCTTGACACGTTAGGACCTGAGTTAAATTCCCAGAAACTCGACTCATCAGTGAAGCTTCCTCGTGCAACAAAGGGTGATGAACACAAGAGACTGCAGAGCGTGGGTCCCTGAACAGGACTCCTCTATTTTAAACTTCACCCACCCATTGCAGAAGAGTAGGCAGAAAGACTGTAAGAACTGGGGAGGAGGCGCATGACCATAAGGAGAGTCCTACAGGCTCCTGGGGCCTTGCTCTTACAACCTTACAGCAATGGTGACAGCATGCACAAGACCCATGCAAATTCAATCAGGCAGAAACCATCGTAGAACTGGGGAAGTGGACAGGAGGCCACAACTTTGGTGAGGAACTTCTGGAAGCTGATCACTGCTGGGAGAAGGAAAGTTGATCTTTAAGGGAGTGATGCTAGACAGGATGAGCAGGTTCCAGTGGATGAATTTGCAACGAGGGACACTGGGTGCACAAACTTACTCCATGGGCCTTCACATATAAACAAAATGTATTAAATCTTGTGGGCAGGCTGTGGGGCGGGGTACAGATAGGGAAGGGGGTGCTAAATAAGGGGGTTGTTCTTGCAGATAGACCCAGGTTAGAATCCCAGCACCCACATAGCAGCTGTCTGTAACTCCAGTTCCAGGGGGATCTGACAGCCTCTTCTGTCCTCTGTGGGCATTGCATGACACAGGTGCACTTACCTACACGCAGGCAATACACACATACACATAAAATTAAAATAATTTTTAAAAAATGTATGAAATCCACAAAAAGTCAATTTAAAAAAATTAAATAAATAAATAAAAACTTCTGAGCATAATATTGCTCATGCCCAGGGATAGGGAGGTGGAGATGAGGAAGATTCCCTGGGGCTCACTGGCTAGCCAGCCTAACCAAGACTGAGCTCCAGGCCAGTGAAAGACACTGTCTCAAGAAAGAGGTGGACAGCACCAGAGGGTCGATGCCCAAGGTTGTCCTCTACACACACACACACACACACACACACACGAGTTTTCTAAGTATAGTTAACAACCCAACAAACTTGTAAAGCTTAGTTAGATTTCATGGGAAGAGGGAACATGCCGTAGCTTTTATTTTTCCAAGTCATTCAGAGACACACTTTATAAAATGTGACCGTTGTGATTTACCATCTGTAAACCTTACTGACAGTGGCAGCTTGGACATATTTAATTTCTGATAAACAATAATAAACCTTCATATTATTGCTCCTGCCAGTTCATATGAATCTTTCAATCTAAAGCATTAGCTTTTAAAGTTTCTATCAATCTCTGTTAACAGGAACTAGGTATTATTTTTAAGTTCTGTTTGTAACCCAGGATCCCACTTAGTTTATATACAATGTTATATATAAACCATGTTATTTATAAATATATGTTTATAAATTTATAAATGTTATATGTTATTTATAAATTTTCTAAGTTTTCTATACCTTTTTGTCTTTTAAATTATGTTTACTTATTGTTTCTTTTTTCTTCTACACTTTTGAACTATTTACTCCACTTCTTACCCCAGAGCCATGTGCAAACCTGGCAGAGGGGACAGGTCAGCCAAAAGTGTCACTCCACCAGGTGCTACACCAGTATCTCCCAGTGAGACACCCTTGAAAAGTCAAGTCTTACTTCTGCTATTGATACCTCTCCACTCCCATATTTAAGTCATAGACAGCCTGACTTTGGCCCTATTAAAGAAAATTAACTTAATAAGGAAACGAGTGACTTTTATATACTGGCTGTGGGTCTAAGCACCAGAAATGGGTAAAGGAGTCCAAACCAAGAAACAGGAAAATCGAGGCATTGAAGGGGAGCCAGCGTGAGTTAACAGCTTCTGAGGTGGCAGGATGTGTCTGAGTTCAGAAATAGATGTGGAAGAAAGGTAGATCTTGCTACAGCCCAAAATGGATACAAAACATACCGGGAATGACGTGGAGTGTAATCAGACTCTGACTGTAATTATGCAAATGTGCATAAACAGTTTTTCTATGAATAAACCTTCTGCATCAACCTTAATACTCCAGGTCAAAGTCAGCTTAAGTCATGACGTACCAGCCACTCTGCAGTGGTGGAAAGCATGCTATACCACCTTCTGTCTGTAGTTGCACCTGAATGCACTTTGAACTCTTGACAAAATGAACTTCGACTCTAAAGACCCGTAGGGCTTCCATCTGCTGCTGTTGGAGAACGTCCCCTTATTGAGGAGGAGATGGGCAGTCAGGCTCCAGAGACAGATCCAGCGTGGTTGTGTTTAGTCTGTCCACTCTAGTGACGTTCAAGCTGGCACGTGTTTGTTTTAATTGCATGTCACCTGGAATGTGTTCTAGGAGTCTGTGTTCAGGGCCTGCTTATTATTAAAGAAAGGAGATGTTTAAATCGGCATAGGAGCAAACTGCCTGCTTTAGTTATAAGTAAATTGAAAGCTTCACAGATGAAAATGCTAAATGCACTGTGGTCATTGCTAGCATGTGGGAGTTTGTTTTGTTTTGTTTGTTTTGAATGGGGTTTCACTTTGTGGCCCTGGCTGACCTCATGCTCAGTACATAGTAGACCAGGCTTGTCTTACATTTCTCATTATCCTCCTGCCTCTGCTTCATGAGTGCTGGGGTTATATGCGTGCTAACTGTAGTGCCCAGCTAGTATGTGCTTTTTTTCCATGATCATCAGATAATAAGATAATATGGGTTGTCAATGTAAATACTGTTCTAAAAAACTGCTAATGCATATTTTCCTCATCTCTGAACATGGCACAGCTTAGTTGGGCTTTTCCTTTAAATGTGGGACTATGAAGAAACACCAGTGGAGGACCGAGCCTAGTGGCATAGGCCAGTAATCCCAGCCACTCAGGAGGCTGATGCAGGAGGATCACAAGTTCAAGGCCTGCCTGGGCCTAGGCCAGGATGAATAAATTATCAGTGCCTTATCTCAAAATAAAAAGGAGTAAGGGGATCCAGGATGACTCAGTGATGAAATGCTTGCCTAGCACACATGAGGACCTGAGTTCAACCCTCAGCACAAGAGGCAGCTTACTACAGCGTTTTTACTTAAGAAATTGAAGTATCCTAGAAGGATAGGAAAGTAACAAGAATGTATTTCTCCCTTCACAAGACACTTAAAATGACTATAGCGCATATATATATAAAACATAACTGCATAACTGATATGTATAGAGTGACAAGTTCAACCAGTGTTCCAAGTGTTTATTCAAGTCTGCAAATAGTGATTGAGCTCTGTTAAAAAAGAAAACACACGTGGATAGGATGATTCAAGGCTTGTGGCCAGTATACAGGAATCTGTAAACAAATGTCTCACCATCACAGGAATGTATGTATCAGGGGATTTGGGCCCTGGTGGTAAAGGAGACAAGGGGCACCTGTGTGGTGCGCAGCGGCACAGATGGTCCTCAGGTGCATGGAGGTTCCTTGAAAGGCTGGACAGTTGCTGAGGTGAGGTGATAGTCCCTAGGCCTCCCTCACACCCTTGGATAATCTGCTGGGCCATGGTACCAACCCAGGTGAAAAAGAAGAGGATCTTAACAGTTGTGGGTTTGGTTTTGTTTTGTTTTTTTGGTCTCCTTGTAGCCACAGCAGGCCTGAAACTCACTATGGAGACCAGGCTGGCCTGCATTTCACAGAGATCTGTCTGCCTCCCAAGTACATGGGAGCCACCATGCCTGGCTCTGCAGTTGTAGCATTGTCCTATTCCTGAGAGAATTTTGCTTATATGTCAACCAAAACCATATTAGAAACACAAATCCAGGGGGCACCCTGTCTCAGTTACAGATCTGCGCTGCTTTGTGTTAAGGGTGAAGTTCACTGTGGAGTGCTTTCCGTACAATATGGGTTTTTCTCTAGAAGCTTGCTTTCTGTTTCGTTTATCCACAGTAGAAAATTAAACAATTATTTTAAATATTCCTTAATTTGTCTCATGGTGGTTTGATTTTTAAAAAATTCCATCCCTGGGGCTGGAGAGATGGCTCAGCAGTTAACACTGGTTGTTCTTGAAGAAGACCAGGGTTCAAATCCCAGTACCCACATGGCAGCTAACAACTGTCTGTAACTCCAGTCCCAGGGAATCCAACAGCCGCTTCTGACCTCCACGGGCATTGTACGACATAAGTGCACTTACCTACATGCAGGCAATACATGCATACACATAAAATAAAAATAATAAAAAAAATTGTTTAATTGCATCCGTGTGGAAATGTTCTAGCCACCCACATTATTTTGTATAATTAAGATGAACTAATAACTGCAGTTTTAAAAGTTTTTGAATGACCAAGTCACTCAATAAGACAGGTCTAATAACAATAAACAAAAAAAATCAAGAGTGCGATGTGCTGAGTCCGTGGAGCAAAATTTTGTCTGTGGAGCAAAATAATGAATAACACTTGTGGTGTCTTGTGTCTTGTTGTCTTTCAGGGAAAAAGAAACGGCGGTTTCAGACAGTGTTTCTTTGGGAGCCAGAAGCACTGCAAGCTGACGAAGCTCTGCCCGGCCATGGGGTACACGTTCAGACTCGCAGCTCGGAATGACATTGGCACCAGGTAGACGCTCCGCTCACTCCTGCCCTTTGGCCTGTGTCGTGATGCCGGGCATCTCTCCCACCGCTTCCACCCCGCGCTCTTCAGCCAAAGGGGAGCAGGCTCTGGGCTGATGGCACCATTCTGGTCTCTTAAGCTGTGTCATGAAGGCCCACCAGAGGTCTGGGAACCCAGGTGGAAATAGCAATTGGGACTTTGAAAGGAAGTCTTCCCCTTGGGGTTCCGCTTTTTTTCCAGTACCTCTGCCTTTTTCTTTCATCACACTCAACAAACTTGTCCCTCAGTTGCCTTTTTCTGGGTGACTGTTACTGTTAAAAAGAAAGGGTGCTGAACCATTGTTGAGAAGCCGTAGGACCAGAGAAAACCTGGGCCTCTAGGTTACAGAGGGAAGCAAGAGAGTGGGGTCCAGCCAAGGTGCCCTTAATTAAAGGGCTTTGAACAGGCCACGTTTCAGTTGTGCTCACTGGGGACTCTTGATGAAGGGAAAAATCCTTTTATTAGTACACCTTCTTAAAGATTCAGCACGCCAGTGGTCTCTAGCCCCAAGAATTTCTTTCTAACAGCACAGAGTTTACAGAACTGCCTACCCCATACCTGGAAGCCATTGTAGTTTACCCTTCTGGGAAAAGCTGGAAAGAGAAAGACCTCTATCATTCAGGAATTTTTTAATGAATTAGAAGCACCAACAGACTTTTGACAAACTCTATTTGTAAAACTCATGCTCCATCTACAAGTTGATGTGCCCACATTCATTTGAAGACTGGTGGCTGCTACTCTTGGCTTAGTAAACCCTGTGCTAACTGGGCCTTCAGTTAAAGGCTTGGTTGGAGGATGATAAAAGCTTAGGCGTATTTTCCTATAACTTGGTATGCTTTTTTAAGAGCAGGGTATTGGGCGGTGGGGGCAATTAAAAGGTACAATGGGAAATGTGACACACGGGATATTTTTTTTTACCTGGTACAGATCAGGCCGGGTGGAGGCACATTCTCCCTCTTTTTGAATGCTGGGCCGCCCAGTACTCCAGCATGTCTCCCCATGTCTATATCTCTGCAGTAGTTACAGTCAGGAGGTGGTGTGCTACACATTGGGAAACATCCCCCAGATGCCCTCAGCACCTAGGCTTGTCCGAGCTGGTGTCACCTGGGTCACGCTGCAGTGGAACAAGCCAGAAGGCTGCTCACCTGAGGAAATGATTACCTACACCCTGGAGATACAGGAGGATGAGAATGTAAGTTTTGAGATTCTATAACTACAGACCACCATGAAATTTTACCTTCCAAGTTCAAGACCACTTTTAAAAACATATTTTATTATTTTTATGTGTATGAATGCATTACCTGCCTGTGTATGAATGTATTACCTGCATGTATGTAAGTGCACTCATCTTGTGCAATGCCCATGGAGGACAGAAGAGGCTGTCGGATCCCCTGGAACTGGAGTTATGGATGGTTGTTAGCTGCCATGTGGGTGTTGGGATTCAAACTCAGGTTCTCTGTAAGAGCAGCCAGTACTCTAAACCGCTGAGCCATTTCCCCAGCCCCAAAGATCACTCTTAATTCCCACCACTTTCCATCACTGTTTGCATCAGCATGCCCTTCCCCAGCTCAGCAAAAGGCATGCGGTCCTTTCAGTTTAAGTCATCCTTGACTCCAGATATACTCAATCAGCAAATCTCTTTAAGTCTTACTTCAAAATTATCCAGAAATGAGCCATTTGTCACCATCTCCACGGCTAAGACAGCCTCTTAGGAACTACTTTCATCTCAGCCTGACGGACCGCCATAGCCTCTCCTCAAGGGCCCCAACTTCACTCTGTTGTGCTAGGATGTGCTCTCTGCACAAAGCCAAGGGATTCTGGGAAATACAAAATGGTCACTGCCACGTTCTCACAGAGCCTTTTCCCTCCCAGCGCCCTCTTCCTGCAGAGGAAGAGCTGCAGCTGTTCTGGGTCCTGCTTGGCCCAGTGTGCTTGGGTTTGCAGCACAGCCGTCATGCCTCCACCTTTGCTCCTGGTACTGCTGGGCCCTGGCCTTGTGCCCTTTGCATTTCCCATGCCTGCTGACTGGAAGGTCCTCGAAAATAGCTTCCACTTACTTCCCTGGTTTTCTTCACGTCTCTTCTCACATCCCAGCAAATGTCTGCTTAGGACAGCCCTTCCCTGACCACTGTGTGGCACAGCACTGTCAGGAGGAATTCTATGCCTCAGTAGAGACAGCCCATGGTTTATGCTAGACCTGTGACTATAAACACTTGAAATATGGGGAGGGGGGCGGTGGCAGTGAGATGGCTCGGCACATATAGGCACGTGCTGCTGAGCACAACTTGAGTTCAATCCTTGGGACCCACATGGTAGAAAGAGAATCAACTTCTACAAGTTTTCTTCTGACTTCCTTATAAGCACTCTGATATATATGCACATGCACACCTGCACACACGCAAAATAAGTAAAATGTAAAGAAAATAAATATATGGCCATGGGCCTAAGGAACTGAGGTTTTAATTGTATTAAATTTGAATCCAAAGAGCCAATGCGGCGGCTACTGTGCTTAATGCACCCACGCCGTGCAGTTAGACAGCATCTCAGGAGCTCCGCCCTCCTGCCTTCATGGCGCACATGGCACGCCTTCTGTGTGGCATGCCTTCTGTATGTGTGTGTGGCGGAGGGTAATTGCCTTCTTTGCCTGGCATGTAAGCTTCTTGTGGGCCTGGCTGAGTCCCTAGGGCCTGAAGAGAGCCTAGTGTACAGAAAGTGCTGGGGAGGGAGGGAGGGCAGGAGGATAGTGACTACTACGGAGTGAATGCAGTGTATTCGCCTTCAGTGACAAGGTCTACTCTTAAGGGAGTATGCCCCTCCCCATCCAAGCTGTCCCTTGTCCTCAGCCTGAGGAGCACTGTGAGCTCTCAAACCTCACCAGTCACCTATCACATAGCCCATTGCACTATTCTCAAGAGGCTTTTCTCACAACAAATGTATTGATAAATAAATACTGTTAAGACACTTACTGCTCTGTCACAGTAAAGTTGAGCAGAGCCAAGAGAGACTGCAGTGTGACCAAGAGGCCATCCTGTGAGTCTCCAGTGCCATCCATGGCGCCATGGGCTCTTGATAGGCCTTTAGCAATAGCTGCTGGACTCCTGACTTGCTAGGGACAATAGGGAGCCAAATAAAAATCCTGTAACTGAGGAGTGTGAGGCCCTGATTTTATAATAGTGATGTTTCTTTCTGGGTTGGCCTTTTCAGGATAACCATTTCCACCCTAAATACACTGGAGAAGACTTAACCTGTACTGTGAAGAATCTCCAAAGAAGCACACAGTATAAATTCAGGGTGAGTCTATCCTTTCGGGGCTTGATGTGCTTAAGGATGAACCGTTTGATGTCCCTCCACTTACCACTTCAGGTGGAGTTCTCCAGGCCAAAATGCTGACAGCACTCTGTGTTTGCAAAGTAACACTTATGCCTTCAACTACTAGCCTCATTTTAATCTGGAAACTCACTTCTGAGACAGAAAGCTGCTGTAAATTGCTTTATGGCAGGGGACAGGTGCCCTTGCTGGGAAGACCCCCACGCAATGTCGAGTGTCCCTGCGGCTCACCTGCCATCCACTCCTCCCCTCCCATGTACCTCACTTTTTATCAGGTAGCTGACTAGCTCTCTGTTTCCTTCTGTTCATCTGACCATTCTCTCTCCTCTCCTGTCTTTATTTTTCACACCATTTACCCTCTCCTTCCTTGGCTCAGGCTTTCTTTACATATTAAGCCATTATCGTTACAGTAGGATCTGTGTGGTAACCATAAGAGCAAAGCTTCATGCACTGGACGGTTCATTGGTCCTCTGCATAGCATTTCTGGGTGTCCTCTAAGGATACTAGGTTGTCTTCTTATTGGACCCTCCCGTCTCTAATTTTAGGACTAAGTGCTTTAATTTGACATGTAGTCACTCAAATATTTGTCACATTATCAAGTGTAATGTGTAACTATTTGGGGAAATAATAGTTTTGAGAATGCTGAAAATACAGACACTGCCTCCCAGAGCATGGCTGTTCTGCTCACACTCTCCACAAGATGGCACCATCCTACTCTTCTAGAAGTAACGTTCTTGTCTGTTTTCCTTCCATAAAGCAATGCAAAGTAGCCAGGAACACACTGATTTTATTATACATCTATCCTTCCTCCTTCTCTTCCTCCTCCTCTTCCTCCCCCTTCCTCCTCCTCCTTTTCTTCCTCCTCCTCCCTATTTTTATTACAACAGAGTCTTACTGTATATTCCAGAATAGCCTGAAACTAGCAGTGTAGCCTAGGATGACTTCAAACTCACAGTCATATTGCCTCAGCCTCCTGGCTGCTGGGATTACAGGCACCACCACTCCCAGGCTTGGATGTCTTCTTGTAAGGATATAAAAATATCTTTAGCTCCAGGCATGATGGCAGAGGCAGGTGGGTCTCTCAGAGACCAGCCTGGTCCACACAGTGACTTCTAGGTGGGCTGTGTCCAGATAGACCCTATCAAAAAACAAAACAAAACAAACAAACAAAATACACATGCACGCATGCACACACATATATGGCCAAAACATACTTTAAGTTTTTATTTTTAATTGTTAACAACCAAATATAAACAAAATAAATGATCATAGGTGCTATTATATCAGCAGTTTGGAGAAAGAAACTATGTGACTGTATCGGTGTCTGTGACTGTGGGAACCCGATCCTGGCAATGTTACAAAGTTACCATCAAGTTAATAGTATAACTACTATGTTAACCTTTTCTCCTTTGTGTTACAGCTGACTGCTTCTAACATGGAAGGGAAAAGCTGTCCAAGTGAAGTCCTGGTTTGTACAACCAGTCCTGACAGACCTGGACCTCCAACCAGACCCCTCATTAGAGGGCCAGTCACATCTCAAGGCTTCAGTGTCAAGTGGGGTATGTTTTCAGCGGCGGCGGCTGCTGCTGCTTTTTTAACAGATTTTAATTTTTTTATTAATTTTAATAGTGACAAACCAAAAACAAAAAAATAAAATGCAGCATCATTTGTGAGTGTTTTATGCAGTTGGAATTTACATGTGAGAAACGTCCCAAGAATTGAAGTGGGCGATTCCGCTAAAATGGGATTTTTAATATATAACCAAATTGTATCACATAACTGAATTGGACGGTTTTAAGAGCATCTTGTTTATTTCCTGATTTTCCTATATTACGTTTTTCCTCCTTTATTTTAAACGCATTTTTGACTTTTAAGTTTGGTCATTTCTCGTTATATAATTGATTTTTCAGTGGCTCACCTTAAAATTGTAAACAATAGTGGGGCATGGTGGAACATGCCTTTAATTCCAGCAGAGGTAGGTGAATCTCTGTGAGATCAAGGCCAGCCTGGTCTACCTAGTGAGTTCCAGGCCACCTGGGACTACAGGGAGACCCTGTCTCAAAAAGACCAAAAAAAAAAAAAATTAAAATGTAAACAATAATAGAAAAGTATTTAAATATATCATCGTAAGTAAATTTTAACATAGAGTGTTTAAGTGTCAACGAAATAAGAAACATTGGGTTTTGTGTTGCCATGTGACCAACAGTCCTGAGCTTCAGGAATCTTTCATGCTGAAGTTCATGTTTGGTTTATGTGCAAGGAAGACGCTGTGCCTCACTTGACAGCAGAGATTATTTCAGGGAAGTGGACAACTAAAAGGCTGGCCGACTTTGTAATTATATGTGAAACCCTTACGATGTGTCATAAATATACGACGTGAAAGGCAAAAAGAAAATTACAGAATGCTAAAAGTAATGTAGACCATTATTAGAGATCAGCCCCTGGGGCACATAATAGTTTCAAGTTATCCAGTGACTTCCAGGCTCTCCTTCCCCAGAAGACAAGTATGATCGGGAGATGCTGGAGGCGCCCCATGCTTGTTGGCATCAAAGATCTCCTGACATCTTCCAGCAGCGCTTTCCTTAGCTGCATGCCCTACTTGTCTTTATCATTAGTGTTGTACCTGTCGGTTATTAGAGCATACTGTATGCAGTATAGAAAAGTCCGGGGAAGTGAACTTCCTAATTCTGTGTGAGTTAAAGTCAAGGTCTCTTAAAAGATCTCCTGTGTGGAAGAATATAGAGGCGGCAGGCCGGTGGCAGAGGGAAGTTTCCTCACAAGTTTGCAAAATTATTCTGCACAGTGTTTCTCTACTCGGAAAACAAAGCTTCCACAGGCAGAGTTGCCTATAGATGGCCCAGGTGATCTAAAGAGGGTTCTGACTTGGTACCTCCCCAGATGCCCGATGTGTGGGCGGATCACAGTTCTGGGATGGTATCAGCTTCACTGGTGTATGAAGTTCACCTGGTAATAAGGGAGATGGGACGGATCTGTTTCGGTCCAGTGTTTTCATTTCTGTCAATGCATTTTTCATTTTTCTTCCTCTGAGAAGAATCTGGTTGCTCAAAGTATATGAAGGAAAAATGATCAAATAATCTCAATACATGAACATTTCATTTTGCATTAAAAATAACCAACTCTTAAAGAGCTGGCTTCAGAGTACCCACAGTAAATTTTGTTAATGTAATTTTGGGGAAAATTCGTCTTTCATTTCAAGTTTTGGCAGCCTTCACTGAATAAATGCTGTTATACTTCTAGCTCAACATTTCAACAGTGTTGAACATCAATCTGACAGTATTTACAATTTCTTACATTTGAGGGGTTCAGTGTCATGACTCACTCCAGTAATCTCTGCACTTGGTGGAGAGGGGAGCTAAGGCGGGAGGATGGCTGAAAATTTGAGTCCAGCCTGGGCTTGGATTTGAGATGCTGTCTCAAGAAAGCTAAACACAGAAAGGCGAGGAGGGTGGAGTGCATCAAAATAATTAGTTGCCCTTTCTAGTCAAATCCAGCAGTGTGATGCCGTGTGCATCTGAATACAGTAATGATGTTTACCAGTAGAAAGCAACACCTCTCATCACTGATGGTAATGTTCGCTTTCTCTCCAGACCCTCCAAAGGACAACGGCGGCTCGGAAATCCTCAAGTATCTGCTGGAGATCACTGATGGAACTTCTGAAGGTGATGCTTTAGAAACCGTTTTATGCAATGCATTGCAAGCCCTGCCCTGCTGATCCAGGCAGACCCCTTTGCAGCAGCAGCAGCAGCCGTTAGTTCCGATGGAGCTAGTGCAATGGTCAAGCTAACAGCCACGTTCTGATGGAGCTAGTGCAGTGGTCGAACCAGCAGCCACGTTCTAACAGCCACGTGGTCGAGCTAAGGGCCACGTTACCAGCTTGCTCTCTCCCCCAACCCCCTTCTTTAATCTCTAGCTACAGTTTTCTCTTGAAATACCATTTTTGCCAGGCTTTTTCTTCCCTCTTTTCTATGTCATTTTTAAAAACACAATCACTCACCAATAAGATCGATAAATTTAAGTTTTTCATCCCAAACTTGCCAAACTTTTTCTCAAAATTGTTCTAAAGCAAAATGTCAGAAGCAGCTATGAGGAAGGAACAAATAGTCCCCTGCTGGGTAGTCTGCACCTGCTCAGAAAGTGGGTGCTAGTCTGCCTTTAACATATGTGTATGCTGACAGCCATCATTCACATTGGGTCTCCACTGTGAGTATTAAAGTGGGACCATGGGACTTGCTGCAGCTCAGCAGGTAAAGCAATTGTCGCCAAGCCTGGTAACCCAAGTCCAGTCCCTGGAACCCACATACAGTGGACAGAGAACCAGCTCCACAGAGTCCTCTGACCTCTGCATACACAAAAAGCATACACAAGCCCATGTGCACACACGATAGTAATAATCTAAAACAATTTTTGCAGTGGGGCGATTTTAAAAATCAAATTCCAGGGCTGGAGAGATGACTCAATGGTTAAAAGCAGTGGCTGCTCTTGCAGAGGACCCAGGTTCAGTTCCCAGCACCCACATGGCAGCTAACAACCATCATAAGTTCAGTTCCAGGGGATTCAACATCCTCTTCCGGCCTCTAAGGCCTTGCACGACACAGGTGCACTTACACACATGCAGGCAATACACTTATACACATAAAATGAAAATAATAAATAATTTTTTTAAAAATCAAATTGCTCTGGAAACTGTTATTGGGCATGTTAAAGCTGTAATGATATGCTTCTTCTAAAAAAATTAAAAAAATAGTATTTGAAAAACAAATTCCTTAGATAAATGCTCTTAAATTTTATTGCTTTCATTTCTTTTTTTTCCAGTGGAACAGCAAGTTTATTAGCCAGAGAGTAAACCTGAGAGGCACCTCCTCATGGCCCTGAGAGCCTCTCTTACAAACTCTGAGATTTTATACTTCTCCCTTAGGGCAGGGGCTTGTGGTTTAGGTTGTATCATAGGGGGAAGGTAGTTGGAGGAGGCTAATCCTGCCAGGAGCATTCAGGACCTAATAAGCCTAAGCCTTGCTTGTTGGCTTGCTTGCCTTCTCTCTCTCTCTCTCTCTCTCTCTCTCTCTCTCTCTCTCTCTCTTTCTCTTTCTCTCTTTCTTTCTTCCCATCCATCCATCCATCCATTTTGGGTTTTTTTGAGACAGAGTCTCCCTGTAGCCCTAGCTGGCCTGGAACTCACTATATAGTTCAGGCTGGCCTCCATCCCAAGAGATCCTCCTGCCTCTGCCTCCGGAGTGCTGAGATAAAAGTGTGCCCCACCACACCCAGCCTAAGGTTTTCTTTCTAATAAAGTTAATAGACTTAAAAAACTATGATTTTAGAAATCTTAGAAAATTACCTGATTTCACTAATATCACTGTTGTAATCACTAACTTTTGAAAAGTTCACATACATATGGTAAAGAGAGAACCCACAGTCACAGAAACAAGCAGCGATGGTCTGTGACTTGGCTTCTGTGCTGTATACAGCCACCTGGAGTTTTGGTTTTTAAGCCTGTCAAGTCCTATTTTAAGATAAAAATAGAATTCTTCAAGATTGGCTATTCTTAACATGAGATTGTTTTCTTCACTAAAAATCTTATTAGGGTTTTATGTTAGACCAAGAGAGAGTTCACATGTATGCCAGTTGCCTGTTGCAAAAGCGTGTTCGTCTGGCTCTCGTAGGTACTGATACAGCTCAGAAAGTGGGTGCTATTCTGCATTTAACATCAGCAGCTTCCCCAGTGCATGGGAGACAAGGGGTAATTAATGGTATCTTATCCTTTGTCCCCATCCCCGGGAGTCACCATAATACAGGACTTCTAACCCATAACGGGAACAGCACTGTCTTTAATATTCCTCGTTCTCCCATGAAGCTCTACCTTCACTCTGACCTGATAAGGCGTAGAACCACAAAGTCATAGTACTAAAAATCTACTGTAAGAAGCATCTGAAGGGATTTGTGGAAGTTACTTTATAAAATGCTGTAGAATACATATCTATTCCTAAACAACCCGTGGAGTAGGCTTTTGTGAGGTGGTCAACTTGAAGCGCCTGAGTGGGAACAAAACAGACACTCTTGAGGCCCCATGGTGAGGAGCAGTGGGGGCCCCAGTGCCTCACCACATAGGGCACCAGCCTTGTGGGCATCCACTTCCTCCAACCATCCCATATGCTTTCTTCACTCCTCAAAAGCAGTGGGATAACCCAGGTCATGCCAAACGTCTCCTCTTTAATTTGTATCATCCAGTGCATCTCTCTGTCTCATTCATGGAGCCCCGCCCCCCAAGAGAGAGTGAGCCTTTGCACAGGTCTCAGTATAGAGGGAGGGTTTGACTCACTACCACCTCCAGGCAGATATGCGTAGGGACAGACCCTTCAGCAGCAGTCATACTTTCCGGAAGTCGTGGGAATGAGCAGTAGATGCACAGCTGGCCCTGGGCCTCCTCTGCCTAACACAGCTTGCTCAACCCTGTCCTGCACCCTCCTTCTGTGCCAGCTCCCCATGTCATGTGGCTTCCCACATACTGACCTTGTAGTCAGCAGAGTCAGTGGCAAGGTGATAAAGGTGACTTCATGTTATTTCAGTGTCAGGTGATGCCGGGTTTCTGTGAAAATCACGTGGTGCTTTTCTCTCGGATCTTGTTTCTAATGGGCACTGGGACGCTTTCCCAAAGGCATAAACTTACCCAAGTGTTGTTTTCCAGCTGGTCAGTGGGAAGTGGCCTACAGTGGATCTGCTACAGAATATGTCTTCACCAGCTTGAACCCAGGCACTTTGTACAGACTTCGAGCATGCTGCATCAGTACTGGTGGGCACAGTCAGGTTGGTTCATCACCATGTAAAAGAGACATCAAATTGGGACAAGCTGTATCTGCAACATCGGAACAATATTGCAGTTTAAAAATGTATCTTGTTGGGGGCTGGAGAGATGGCTCAGCAGTTAAGAGCACTGGCTGCTTTTGCAGAGGAACTGGGTTCAATTCCCAACACCCACATAGCAGCTAACAACTGTCCTTAGCTCCAGTTTCCAGGGGCACCAGCACCCTCTTCTGACCTCTGTGGACATTGCATGACACAGGTGCACTTATATACATGCAGACAAAACACTCACACAATAAATAATTAATATATATATATAATTTATATTAATATATATATATATATATA